TTCCTCAACAAACAGAGGTTATTACTCAAGTAAATATATTAACATTTCAAAGAACATAAAAATAAGTACTAACAGGATCCCTGCCAAGAGAAGAAAAAAGCTCTCAGATTCAGTTTTGTTCAATGATAGCCTGATCAGTACACACAGCTATTGTTTTAGCCCGTTTTCCTTACCTTGGAGTGAAACAGTTTTTTTCTTCCTCTGTGATAATTATTTTTGACAGTTTCACTGTTTAGATGTGAAACTGAGAAACTGTTAATTGAAATAAAAAATGAGTCACTGTTTCCAGCAATTTTTGCCAATGTTTTGATCTGTGTCAATCTGAGCTTAATTATTAGGTTTTCTTTAAAGCAAAAGGCAAAACTGTATATTTTAGTTTGGCCCCATACAAATACTGCACTCTTCAGACGTACGTCAGTTTAAGGATTTAAAGCACAGCTAAACAAGGTTGAAAGTATGTTTAATATCCATGCACTAGAGACCTATCGTAAAAATAACTTGAATGAGAAAATACATCTTTTTTATTGAGAAGGATATGAGAAGTCTTTAAAGCCTTTCAGCAGATATGATTAACCATGATGTATGGGCTATCACTAACGATGCTGCCAAAGTCAACGTCTATCGGCTGTGAGAGGGAAATAACTTGGAAAGCCAACTGCATATCATAGGCAAAGGGCAGGCTTTGCACCCTGTAGCCAACCACGCGTTCCTCTGGTGTATAAATACACATCTGCTCTCGTAAACATGTTTGGTTATTCAGTAGAAATTCCACCGTGATTTTACCATTAATGGACAAACTGGGCTTGTCAGAAATACATGAAGTCACCAGTAGACTCTGGGATAGCAGAAGTGCGAGGCAAGATTTTGCCATGTGTTTTTATTGGGCCTGGGGTGTATGTGTACATGAGAAGGAAGTGGGAAGGGGGGGAAGCTTTATATCCACAAAGGAAAAATGCTAAACCAAAAAATTTTCATCTTGGGGCTGCATGAAGTAGCTGAGAACTGTTGTAGAAATCTGTCTCAAGAAGGCATTTGCATGGCAAGTTTAAATGGCCCTACAAAAAGCATCTCTAGTTAATATATACAGTGATTCTTTCTAACTAGGAATAAGCTAATAATCAATTAATAAATAAAATTGGATTAATATATGGAAAAATAATATTTTTTAAAAGATACAATTATTTGCACAGAAGACACAGCACACACTTTAATAAGTCATGTGCCAGTGTCATCACTGGACTTGGGAAGAAAGGAGCTTTCCTATGCCACAACAAATTTCTGTCAGTCTTTTTTTTTTTCTCCCTTTTTCCAAATAAAGATAGATCCAAGACCTTTAACAAACTGTTCACCAAACAAGAGGCAGATAGCCCCACTCCTGAATGCTTTAGCTGCTCTTGGAGGTCAAGAAGCTCTTCAAATCCCCGCGAATCAGGCAGAGCAGAAATTTGAACCTACTCTTTCCACTAAACTCTTGGTTATTTCCAAAAGCAGCAAAATTTTCCAGCTTTGCCAGTAAATTTCAAACTGCTTTTGATTTACAGGCCCCTGAGTATTTTCTCTAACTCCTCCATACGTGGAGGACCCCACCAAAAAATGACTAGTTAAGCAAATCAGCATTTTCTAAATCAACACAGAATAAAAAGAAAAGCTCCCAACTGTCTTTCACACAACCACTACCAGTTTGCTATCTGCAGTGCCAACGCGTGTGTTAGAGCCGTGGGCTCCCCCTCGCCACTCCCAGCTTCTTGGTCCCTTTGACTGTATCATGCTGTCTGCACGCTGTTAGCGTGCTGCTGCAGGGTGCCTCCGACCACCATCCAGTGGGGTGCCACTCACTCCTGTGAGGCAAACAAGAAATTGTAAATGAGGTGCAAAGCTCTGCCTTTCTCTCCTCTTTCCCCCTTCCTGCAGGATTCACATACCGTAAGGCAGCGCAAAGATGCACGAACTGAGAAAGAGAAAAAGTTGGCAAAGCAAGTGGTGGTCTTAGTCATGGTAGCTTGCTACCATCAGAAGAGGAAAGCCCCCATTTCTCCATGCTTTCATCCTCTGCTTTTGGACATATGCACTTGCACTGGCTCTGGAGTCTGAACAGCCCTTGGCAGCTGGTTCAGAGGAAAACTGAGGCTGGGTCAGAGATGCCCAGAGAGTGGGCATCTTGGTAGAATCACACCCAACTTCTTGTCTAGCTTCTCCTATAAACAGCTTGCCCAGCTCCCCTAGGTGGTCATTTCCCTGCTTGCCCTTGCTATGTATTTCCTAGTATAAAGCTACATTTCTCTTGAGGAAAACAGAGCCAATAGCCCTTGGTCCAACCCACAATGGACATGGAGAACTCGCCCATCACAGTCATCACTGTATTGACCTTTCAAGCCTTTGAAACCTCTCTCATTTTCCTTTTCTCTCCAGATGCAACACATTCAGTCCTGATTTCTACGCCTGTCTTTGGACTACTTTCCTGTTCATACTTTCTTGCTGTTTGTGCTGTCCTTTTCTGGTACATGCTCCAAATTATCTCCACCTGTCAAAATGGGGTGCCCTAAATCAGAGACAGAGTGCCAGCCAAAACTTCTTCAGTACAAGTGGAGCAGCATAGCTACTTCCTAGGTCTTTCTTAAACACAACATTCCTGTTAATACCATCCCAGAACGCCACATGCTTTTTCTACTAAAGCAGCATCATACTGCTGACTTGTACTTATTTAACATTCACTCAGAGAACAAAAAGTCCCAAACTAAAGAAATAAGTATATAAAATAACCCACACCTAAAAACTGTTCACTTCAACAATGCATTATTTCACCAGGTCACTCCTACTAAATCCCTCTTAGGACAGCAAAAATGCAGATGGAACAACCAGCTTATAGTTGTTAAAAGTGTTTAAATTAATTAAAAGACTAGCAGGGACATTTCATGTATCCCAAAGGAAATTTTTATCCCACTGGATGTCAGATGAAAACCAGGACATTCATCCACTTCACATAATAGACAAAACCACTGTGAAAGGCTAAAGTCTGAAAGTGAAGACAGAGTGCAAGTTTTCTATCATTGCTGTCTTGCATGGGCATTTTGGTTTTATGCAAAGACAAACTATTGACCACCTATGGAAAATAAACTTTTTTAATCATTCTAAAAGCAGTTTAACACACAAACTTCTGATTAAAAGACTGTTACAGGGATTATATATGAAAACTGTGTGCACTGAAGACATTTTTCTGGTTAAATGAATTCAGGAATCACTTGTACTGATACAACAAGACTTCTGCTATCAACCGAGTGTGCTGTAGAGCTGAAGAATATCTTTGTGAAACAGAACAGAGGAAAATCTCAGTGCCAGTAAGTGAGAGGAACTGGAACATCAAATAAATCTTTTCTACCTCTTTTCTCTGAAAAATTGTAACTGAGATGGAAGGGTTATTTTGGTAGTAGGACAGTCAGGTATGAATAGCAGCTCCTGAGGGTGTGCTGGGGTGCCTGAGGGAAGACATGCAGCTTCCAGTGAGCTGTCACTTGGCAGCGGCAGACAAAAATGGATGCCTGTCTCTTAAACAAATAGGTAAAGAATGTGTTCATGCATGCTGTATGTAGCTCAATGTGCATTTAAATAATTTCATGTGTATTTGTGGCAACTTATACTACAAATATACAGCAATAAAACTTTGACACCATACTACCATATCAGATACTCAGCACAGCTTCTGACAAATATGTACCTTGAAAGTACTAGAACCATTTCTTGGGACACGAGGAAATTTCATACCATACACCCAGCAGGTTGTGCCTTTAGGGGAAAAAAAAAATTAGTTTTGTGGTTTTTTCTGTTTAAAATTCTATCTTTCTCTGCTGTCCCACCCCCCTTACTCCCCCCATCTACCTGTGAAACTATTTGCTTAATTAATAGGAATTTAACCAACTAGTCAGCTCCAGTTGTTGCTATAGTTTTCTCCTGTTGCACCTCAATTAGTGGTGTTCCCCAGTGTTGTTTAGGCCTTCTGTCCTAGGTATTGCAACTTAAAACTGTCGTTTGCTTGCACAGAGAAAATTGCAAAACTTTTAGTGGGGAAATACCACTCCAACAAATTATTTTCTGAAATTGCCACAAATCAGAAAACAAGTTGAGGCATTGGCATCCCAAGAGCCCCACGTTGTCCATTTAACATCCAAGCCCAGAAGGATTTCTGCTGTGTTCCCAACCTTCCCACAGTGAGGAGCATCCCTCTTGGAGGCAGCTCCCCACCACAAAACAGTCAGTGCCACCAAGTTGTCTGCCCTGTGCTGAAAACCCTCCTTGCTCAGACAGTTATCATCATAAAAGCCCTTGAAACTGAAGCTGCTTAGTACAATTCAAACTCTTTGACAAAAAAAAGAGAGAAGAAAAAAAGCTTCCCCAGCAAGCTAACTCTTTACTAACTCTTGGTTAAGCTTGTTTGAAGTTCCTTCATCATTCTGAATCACAGCTAACTTAAGTCCTCTGTTTACCACGTTTTTCAGTTTACAAAGAGAAGCACAACACACTGTAATCGCACTGGAGTAAATAATAAATTATAATAGTTAAAATACAATAACGTCTTGAAGAGAACATGAAGGCAATTCAGCAATTGCTTAATGAGTTCAAGGAGGTGACTTTTGACATCCTCAAGTGCACGTAACAATAGACTTCAATATCCTTTGTACCCTAATGGGAATTGCCAAAAAAATTCATTGCATTATAAAAATGTAAAAGGAAAGCTCACCTATTATAAAGTAACGCAGATCATTCTACAGGCAGACCTCATTACGGTACTTTTTACAGCATACTAACAAGAAAATTTCCATGCTCGTTACTGCAGGGGTACTTCTTCACTATAAAAAAAAAAATGAGATATGTGCATTTGTATACAATTGCATCCAGTATTGTTAAATAATCCTTTGCTCACGGGCAGGATCTTGAGCTTTGTGATCAGCAATGACCAAAGGCGATGCACTGCGACTGGTCAGTGACGGACTCTCTTTTCTCCTCAGCACACAGCTGTATTGCCATTTGCTGTCCTGGAAATCCTTGCCACGCCACACCGTTACCCAGCAAAGAAGAAGGGATTGATCCTATTAGGATTTGTCGCTTTTCTGTATATCAGTTGGTAAGAATTATGTACTTTAAAACATTCTCTTCAAGTGATCTACTTTGTAAAACAAGGCCAAGCACTGTACTTAGATTTAAGTTCCTTCCCAAGCACATGGGAGACAGCAATCTGTTCTGTGGAAAAGTCGTTTAAACTTCAGCTGAGACTCGTGAAAACTATTTCCAGGCATAAGCATAGCAGGTTTCTTCAAACACAACACAGGTCCTGAGACCATACATAGTATCTCCTGCTCTTCTAAGGCCTCTTACAGAAAAGCAACTAAATTGCCATAAACTCCAGGGTACTTTGAGTTATTTCTGCTAGGCTGGAGTTTTTATTTCTACCAATACCATCAAATTTACCTCTGCTCACTGCCTTGCTCACTTGCAAAACCGCTAAATCTCAAAGGTCTGGGGGTCAGGGGAGCAGAAGAGGAGCAAAACTCAGTTTGGTATTTGGCAGGGACACATGGCTGAGCTTAGAAACTTGAGATAGAAAATGATACTTGGAGCCAGGTGCAAACTGACGGGTAGCAAGGAGGCATCTGCCCCACTACCACCTCCCACCCTGCCGGTGGACACCGCCTACGTTTCCAGCAATGTGCCACAGTTGACCTCCAACCTGTTGAAGGGTGATCCTGAGAGAATAAACTGTACCTAACCAGGCCCCCCACAGCCCATAGCCATCCACCCACCTCCTCTGTGATGCCCCACTGGAGCTGGGTTTCCAGCCACTCCCGCTCATCGCATCCCGGCTGCAGTGCTGGGGTCTGGGGGCACTGCCCGCTCTGTCTAACTGTGGGCAGCTGCCAATGCTTCAAACCACTCTGAGGATAGCCTTATGTTGAGACTCAGCTCAGGAACAGGTCTGTATAGTCTTAGGGTATGCAGTGATATCATTTTCCAGAGCTCAGGAAACACCCGGACCCTAGGCTGGAGGATACAGAACAACTGGTCAGCAGGGAGGTGACTTGTCCTCATGCAAAGATTTCTGAGAAGTCACTGGGACTATGAGGGAACCCATCCTTCCCATTCCTACCCACCAGTTCTCACTCTCAGCTAAAGACTACCTTCAACCCACGAATGAAAATCTGGAATAGAAAATAAACTGCAGATATGAACCACTCTTGTGACTTGAAACCCATCAGCCTGGCTGTGGAAGCAATGCACTTCACTGCTGCTTTATGTAACCAAGTTAGGAGCCATTTATCCTAATCCAGTACAGAGCCTAATAGGATTACGACCACAGTTTCCTAAATTCCTTTTCTATGTTCTGGTTCACCCAGTTGCTTAATGCCAGCTTTGTTTTGCTTGTCTTCTGACAGCATTTGGCTTTTACTGTCTCTCAGACCAGACGGCTCTCCAGGCATCTATTGCAGTCATGTGTGCCGTGCATTCCCCTAAAGCCCCTACCAGCTGAGCAATTTCACCCCACAGGAGGCAGGGCTCATGCCAGGACCTGAATCCTCATCAAAGGGTGAGGATCAACACAAGCATCTGAACCCTCACAGTATCTTCTCCAAATTGATGTTGCATGGTGCTGCTGGGGTCCCTTAGAGCGCCTGCCCCTGTGTGCCAGGGCCCTGATAACTGGACAAAAGATAATAGGATTTCAATACTGTTGGCTTTCTCTCCTCCTGAGGCAGCAAGGAACCTCCTGTCTGCTTTCTGTTTGCCTCCTTTCCTTGTCTTGGTTCCCTGCAACCACAGACAACACTTTCAACGAACCGAAAACTTTTTTAGCCTGTGCGCTGAAACCTTAACACGCGTACACATTTTACTGTTGGTGCTGCAACCTCATGATTTAATAGCCCCATCTGGGCACCTTATGTTTCACAAACCACAGAGTCCTTCCTAAAAGCCTCTCCTTGCACTGTCACTGTCACCGCCATGCTTCCCCTTCACTGGTGTCAATGGGCTGAGAACTGACCAGTCCCCACAAGGCAGGAGAGAAACCGAGCAGCTGGTGATGCCTTGCACCAGGAACCTGCCCCTGAGCGGGGCTTCGCTATAGCTTTGAACACCTATAGTGCTCAAAAAGGAAAGGTGGCTTTCAGTTGTGGGACACCAGGGCTAAGAGAAACATTAGATGTGTTAGTTAATTCTTGCATGGATGGATCTTGCATGTCCTGGTTGCATTAAGTAATGCCTTACTCCTGGAGTCATCACATCGAAAACAGTGAAGAATAAAAAAATTTTAGAACTGTCATTTTAAATCTTAAAAAGGAAGTAACAATAGATTGCCTTTTTCCATGTCAGTGGTAATAGATCAATACAAAGTAAATCTTAATCTTCACAATTTTGCAGGTGTGTTAAGAGAAAAGTTCAAACTACCTTTGCAAGGGAATAGAAATCATTATAGATTGCACTTGGTATACAAAACTAAAAAAAAAAAAAAACAAACAAACCAAATTAAGTCTAGAGACTGATGGCCTTCTTGTAATATGTCCACATTCCACCACTGTGAGGAATCAAAATATTTTTCCTTCACTGCATGCTCATTTTCAGTTCACAACCTTTTAATTTTGAATTAACCACAGTATCAGAGCGCTTATGTGTGGTCAATACGTTCTTTTCTCCTTTCTGGATCTTCCCATTTCATAATTCCCTAGGGATGTTTTTTTCCCCTTCAGTGAATGCAGTGGTCCCATTAACATTAATGGAGGGTAATAAGAGGACAGGATAAATCCCCCAGTGGCATCCAGCTGTACTATGACAGTACATCACCTCTCCCTGGTATCTATATGCTGTCCTCTATCCTATAGCAGTTTGTTAACTTTGGTTATACCCATGGCTGTTATCTCAATCTTTTCTCCCCATAATTCTGGGCATTGTCTGCTTCTGACACACTCACTGGTATCCAAGGTAAAATCCTGGTAAAATTGAAATTTGGTAAAATGAAACCTTCAGAAAAATAAGCCTCTGAATCCTGCATTTATATTTAATAGGTGATTACCCATGAGAAATGAGCAATACATATTTGCAATTTGTGGGGTGCATTTTATGAAAACCGGGGGGGGGGGGAAACAAACCCTCAAAAAACTAAAACCAAAAACTGTCAACCATTCTGTGATCAAAGTGAGTAAGTTCAGGAATCTGGAGGTATGCCCCAAGATAGAAAACCTGGCAACACATAGCTCCCACCAAGTCAGAAAGCTGAAAGTGCTTTAGAGCTCCTGCAGTCATTTGTTCAGGTTTGAAAATATGGGTTGCAGTGCTTCATATGAGGCATGCCAGCTGGCCAAATCGCATCAAGATAATCTAGTTCCTCATTATATAAAATAAGGGTGGTTGTCACTGTATTTTACTGTTTGAGACACATTAAGAAAATAGTAGCCCTGTGCAGTGAAGAACACATGTTCACATTTGCATGGGCTCCGGGCTCCAGTATTTCTGCTCAGCCTCTCTGTGGCCTTTTGTTCAGGCATGGTTTTTTGTGTGTGGGTTGGTTTGTTTGTTTGTTTGAATTACTTAGGTGTTTCACAGCCCTGTTTGTTTGATTCAAGAACCTTAAATCACGAAAATGAGTCTTTACACTTAAGATTTCCATGATCAGGCCAGACAGCTCCACTACCAACCCTCTCCATTTCTCTACCACTTAGGTGGGGATTAGTGAATCTCTTTTTACAGGCCAGGTAAAAACCCACCTTTTTATGCCCTACCCTTTCCTTCTTTAACTAGGGAAAGGAGAAATCACCTTTTCAGACTTTTTTTTTTTTTCCTTAGCACTCTCTCATTCCTCAGTTTTGTGACACAGTCTCAGGCTGATGGGGCAGCCTGTTTGTCACTTCTCTTTAGAGGCACGATGCTCAGCGTAAGGTGGCAGGCTGGGTGCCATCAGAGAGAGCGGGGTTGCACTCCCATGTTAGCACTGTGGTAGAAAGTATGGCATACTCCTCAGATGTGGGTTTTTTTAATAAAGAATTAAACCTTTTAGGACTCTTTGGACCCAAAAGTTCTTTTCAGGGAAGTACTGCCCATCATTAGAATGGGACATCCTCATAACAATCACTGGAGATCTGCCCTATTTTTTATATTCATTACATATTCAATACAAACATATGTAATTTTATCCATAAAAATGTATTTTTCCTATATTTAATATATAAAGACCATTTTTATATTCTTAAGCCACTCTCCTGAGCCATAAACAATGAAAACAGTATCAGTGAACAGCCAGCCACTACAAGACATTTTTTGAAGGGAGAAAAAGGCAGAAAGAGAGGGCGCAAGTAGACTATAAAGCAGGCATATTCATCTTCTTCTTTCTTTCCCTTTTTGCAAACAGTGCTTTGCAAATGGTCCTGGCACAAAAGAGTAAAGCAGCTACATCTGTTTGCTACCTACCTGCTCCTTTTCTCCTCCTCCTCTTAGACAAGAGAAAAGGTGCTGGAGAATTCCCCTTGCCCTCTCACCTCCTGAAGACTTCCCTCCACTCCCCAAAACAGTGGTCAACAGCAGCAGGATATAGACAGTGAGAAACAGCACTTTGTCTCAACAGACCCTTGAGATCGTGATAGAGGCTGAAAAGCTGTTGTAACTAAAGAGCAAACACATATATGAGAGCTTATTCAAGTAAGCCTCACTTAGAATAGCCAAGCACACATCTGAGCATTCTGTCATTTCACTGTTATTTTACTGCCATTAATAGCCAATGCCACCAGGGTGACAGGAGAACATTGTGGGTATTTCAACCTGCACTGAAATCCATCTAATTTAGCAGCAGCTCAAGTGTGCTTCACAGCAAATAGCCCAAATGCTGAGGAGATGTATTGACAGCTGAGCTAATTTTCTCTGTATCAAGATTGTTTTGATAACTTGGCCCTTCTGGAGTTAGAAATCATGAAGTGGTTCTTCTAACTGAATGGTCCTAACCAAAGGTCATTTCTCCCCTTGCCTAGGGTCCTGTGGATTTATTCTGTAACGGGAGAATGGGTATATCCTCTCTTTGCTTTGTTCAGCCCGGCTGGGCTAGCAGCCTTTTTCGCCGGTAGCCTTGGCGTCGTCATCTCTTTCTACAACTTCGGGGAGTTCCTCAACCGTATGATATGGGGTCAGTCCAAGTTTTGTTCTTCACTTCTATCCATATGAAAAAAAATTGTCTAAAATGAATTCCTGTGATTGCCGAGGCAGGTGGGGAGAGGAAGGGGGCCCTTGTACAGTGGGGGGTGGCAGTTGGGTGTCTGATAGAGATTGCCAGGTCCTAAGCATTTACCAACAAACAAAGAACAAACTGAAGCAAGAATCCCATCCCTGCCAGACCAAAGGCCAGGCTTCTCTAATGTGGCTCGAGAAGCACCTCCTACCAGCATAATCACCAGATTTTTAATTCCTTCTCAGACAAGGGTCCAGAGAAGCCAAATCTCTCTGGTTAAAACTCTTACACCTGCATTGTGTGGAGTTTGTCAGACTAGGGAACGGTGCTGTTTACTGACAGTTTAAAGGAAGGCATTAGTGTATCCAAGTGGAAGCATGGCAAGCAGCTCCGTGAGTAAAACAGCACATCAGAAAGTTTTACAAACTGTTGAGAACGTCTCCCTTCTGCTTTGATAGTGGTAGAATCAGTAGTGATTTAAAGAAAATGAAAGGCAGCTTCCTTGGACAAGTGGGTAGTTAGGAAAAAAACGTAGTTTAGGAGGACATATTCAACAGGTGGAAGAAAGAAAGAACTGATGAAGCAGCTTTGGGGTTTTGGCATGGGATATTATTATTATTACTACTACTACTACTACTTTTTTTTTTCCTTTTTCCCCTGCTTCTGGTTTCCTTTCCTTTTTCATTTAGGATTAAGTTTTTGAGGATGAAAGTGTTTCTGTCAGGAAAACGTGTGTATTTTATTCACGACAAATTTGTGAACATTTGCAATTTCTTAAACTATCTTTCTGATGAAAGAAAAAATGCTGCAAAAACACCTCTGAAAATAAATAAGACAACCTCCCTCTGTTCTGAGGGAACGTTTGATGCCTGATCCATTTTGTGAAGTCTCACATGCCTGTCAAGCCAAAGTAAAGTGTCTGTAGCTAGTCTCTCACCATCCGTACTCAGCTACCTAAAAGTAGCAGATTGACTTTCAAATGTGCTGAATAACCAATTTCACCACTTGATACCTTTGCAAATAAGATGCTTGCTCTACATGTCCATGTTTGGAAATTTTGGCTGAATTCTATTCTTGCATAAACATGATACAAGATGAGGATTGCTGGTAAGTGAAAACAGATCTGCAGACTTTCTGCACTAGTTCTGGTTTAAGAGGCATCACATAAATAGTAACTATTACTAATCAAAGACCATATAATCACTACAAGACAGTATAGGTCTTTATATGAGTTCTGATATTTAATATAGCTAGATACCAGATTTTTTTTGTCATTGAGTATGTATTAGTAATTTCAGGCCTAGATGCATAAATTGGAGATAATCAGAATTAAAATAATTTGATTTCCAAGGTGTTAATTGATTGGACAAAAGGTTGTGCCAAGCAGAGATCAAATTAATTGCAAAAATTAGATGCATTTTGAACCGCTGACTAAATATACTCACTTAAGGGATGTTAATTTAAGAGATTTCTAAAGAAACCGGGGCAAGCACTCAGCTTTTTTTTCTGTGCATGCAGAAAGGCTGAAAAGCACCCTCAGTTGTGATGTGAATGTAACCTCAGAGAATATATATATAAACACGTCATATATAATATCCTCCATTGATACCTGGTGTGCTCCTGCAACTCATGGAGGCCTCCTGTCTGTGGCAGGGGTGACTTGACGTTTTTCAAAGGAGCCACAAAATCATGGCCTTAACAATTACATGGTGTTTCCATCCACGTGCAGGACACTCCCCCTGAGTTACAGTTCCCCATGTTTGTGCAAACTCTTGCTAATTCACGTGCATCCTCAGCGCTTCACCCCAGCATTCCCTGGGTTTGCTGTGCACTGATAAAAGAAGCTGCAAAAGCTGCACCCCAATAGCTGGCAACTCTGCGGTACCTAAGGCAGCAGTTTGATAATATGGGGGCTTTGGCAGCAATAACTTCTCAATAAGCTCCTGCCTACCACCCCTCACTCCTTCCGACTCCATGACACGTGCCTGTTTCCTGCAAGCAGGGTCTGTTTTTAAACTCAGATAATTTTCCCTGATCCATTTCCCAGCTGCGTCCACCCAAGAGAAGGGTAGAACTTCCGTAAGCTGGTATTGATAACACGGTCCCAACAAGCATTGAAACACAGCCAGAGAGAAGCTATTCCAAATTACAGTGTGCCAGAGTCTTAATACATTCCTGACTGAGACAAATCTTTGGCTCAGCATTGCCAGAGTAAAAACAGCTGCAAACTGAATGAAGACACAATTCCAACATACCTTTCTTTTCACAGCAAAAATGGCTCCATGTACGTTTTTCATCCTACCCTTTCCTGTCTCACTTCCTATCACAATGAGGGAGATGATGCAGTTAAAATAACCCTGCAGAAAAAAAAAAAAACAACACACACACACAAAGCAGAACAATCTGTGGTGGTAGAAGACAGACCTCTTAATCTCTCTGGACCTTCCACCCTGCCCACATCCTCCCGCCCCCAAAAGAAAGGGTACGTGGAAGGGCACTTCTGCCCTCTCTTTTGCTCCCTGCTCAGTCCCCCAAAGGCACAGGTTGAGTTGCAGAGTAATGCAACTGTCCACTCGGTTCCTATAGGCACATCTGGAAACACCTTCTCCAATATCACCAAGCAATTAGACCCAATGCTGGTGGCATCTGCCAAGGCAAAGAGCCCTGCCTGGGCTGTTGTGACCAGGCTTCACGCCAAAGGGAAAGGCTCCGGGTCAGCAGCTTCTTTTTCTTTCTTTCCCACTTGAAGGAAGAAAGCTTGCTGAGTTTGTGCCCAGATAAGTTGTGTTTATTCGAAGGTGCAAGAAGTGATTAACAAATTGTTCCACATGAGTGGCGAGCCTGGTTTGCTTCTGGACTTACATCCCGTTGCAGACTGTGGGCTGTAAATGAAGCTTGTCCCACAGCATACCATGCTTCATATGGGCTCTCTTCCGTGTTCCTTTATATCTTCAAGGCCACTATCACTTTTCCTAAAACCAACTACATAAATACTTACTCTTTTCCACCCTTAAAGGTATATTCAGTTCCAACTTATTCCAAAGTCTATGGATGGCAGCTTTCAGCTTCAAGCAAGTATTTCTTAAAGCTGTGTCCTGTGCTTGACCAAAAAGATGCAGTATCATTTCCGAGAGCTGGAAAATCCAGGCTGTCAAATAATATAACCTTGTTTTTCCTTTTCAGATTAACCAAAAGATACCAGACCCTAAATTTGTTTTATTATTTATAGACAAACTGTTTCATATAGTATTGGAGGTTTTAAAAATGTATTATCTCTCATGTGCCTCTCCCTCCCCTTGCACAGTTGGATTGGTGGTAACTAAGGCAACCCAGCTGCACAGCCTGAGAGGCACAGAAAATAGTACCAGTAATGACATTTTTTGTTTTAAATCCCAGCGTTTCTAGAGTACTAGACAATGTTGAGCAATACAGAAACTCCAAAGAGGATAATTGGAAACAATGGGCCGATTCTTTTACTGCCATAAATTTACCTCAGCCAAGAATTTGGCTGCAGGGTCCGAGTATCAAAGATGAACCGTGTGATAGCTTCTCCCGTTCCCAATGGGTAGAAAACATCACGCAGGCAACTGATCTCATGTTACTTTGACCAGTCAAACTAGAACCCTCAAAAATAAAGCAAAGCAGTTTTCCCTCAGGTTTTGCTCCTGGTGAGATAACCAGATCCTTGGGAGAAATTCAGATCAAAGTTCTCCACATCAGACAGAGCAACATTTCAGGTGAGGTCTCTTCTCTGGCACTAGCATTTGAAGAAGGAGCAGATTCATTTGTCTTCCATCTAACACACCTGAAAAAAACCCAAAACAACATTCCTCAGCTGCTTCATTTCAATACTTCGAAATGCAAGTGGATAGGAGCTATAGCTAGCAACAGCTACCCGTTCCACCAGTAATTTAAATGCCTGCTGAGGGATACGGAAAAAACCACTTGCAAGATTTTACAGCCACAAGGTCTCTGCCAAGTCCAGAGAAATGCTCACCCCCAGGTGGTGGAACTGTCCTTTGGGAGAGAAACAGGTTAGAAAGGGAGGCCGGTTGTCAGAGCAGGCAGCAGCTCCAGCAGACCCATGTCTGGATGCTCGCTGTCCTCCAGAAGGGAAAAGTTTTGGCCAGCAGTTGGCTGAGGAACACCAGGGGGAGCAGAGCCAGAATTAAAGATTTTGTAAAGCACGGAATAAGGCAGTACAACAAGGGTAAGAGCCGTTACTCTCAGGAAAAAAAGGAAACTTATTGATGGAGTAACTTTCTTATGCCTAGTGCACAGATGGATATGCTCCTCCAGATCCTCTACGAGCTTTTGAGTATCTTGTAAAGACACTGCTGAAACGTGTTCACCTAAGGCTGAGCTAAAGTTAGATGGCAATCATTTATTTAATGTATTTTTTCCTCTTATTTTTGGAGTACTTTTGCATTAAGTGCATTTTCCAGAAATATATAACATGTTTTTGGCACTGATTGTTTTCCCTTGGTTTTATTTTTGTACTTACATGCTTGTGAAACCAAGCTCCCTTAATAACCTTGTAGTCAGCTATTAGGAAACCCAACCTATGTGACAGCACATGAATCTGTGCAGTACAAAGCAATACTATAATACAGTCGAATTCTTGATGCTCTCATCCTTTAGAGCAGCTGTTGAGATTGCAGAAACCTGAGTGGCAAATAAAGGGATGAAAAGGGCAACTGCGTGGGGTACAAAATCATTCTACCATTGTACTGGCACAGGCTTAGGAGCAGCAGCTTTTGTATGAATGTTAAAACGCTCAGGTTCTGAAGGTAGTTACCAGTCTGGACACAGGCTCCACCCTTCGTTATTACAGTGTCCAGAAAGGATTTTTAAACTGAGCCTCCTTTCCAGGAGATATAATAATTTTTTTTATCATGCCCTTAAGATCTACAATTTCACTATATTGCTAGTGGTGAATGGAACTCAAATTTAAAAGGATTTCCAGACCAGAGTTTGCAAAATAAATATGCATATTTAATTTTGTCTCATCCATTCATCCTAGTTGCACCATAAACCTGTGATGGTGTATTTATATCCTTCGTATTTGTCACTCCCCCAAGCTGCAGTTTACTCTTCTGGTAGAAGAGTCTAGCTATTTAAAGGAAACCTGCACCACCTGTCACATGCCCTACCCTTGCTGACAAGTTTATCTGATGATCCACTGGAGGGAGACCCGATCGGAAGCTCTGGCAACCCAGGCCTTACGATTTCATCACTGGAGGCCAGACATTAACAGGTGCTTGTTAATATGCTGCCCCTGGCCTAACAGGCTAGTTTTTTCTTTGTTTGGGGGTTTTTTGTTTGTTTTGGTTTGTTTTTTTGGGATTTTTTTTGTGGAGTTTTCTCTCCCACATCTTTAAAATTTCTATTTGGTCAATAGAAAATACTTACAGGATCATTTGGGAAGGAAGAAATGCCAGGATTTTGTTCCATACACCAGGTCAATTGCCAAATGTTGTGTAGGCTGGAGATAAATAAAATACAGCAATTAGTGTTTCAGAGGCTCTGAGGTCTATGGACATGGAAAGCACCTTTAAAAGAGGGTTCCCTGTGAATAAATGATCATCAACAGGGAAGAAGAGAGGCTGAGACAGGGCTTTAGATAAGGGTGCCCAAATATATTTGGTTATTGCCACACTTGGTGCCCCATGGTACCACATCTAGTCTGTAGCTGGTGCTTCAGAAAGCTGTGGGTCTTTGGTAGGTCCTCCGCCATCCTGGCCAGACACGCAAGGATGCTGTAGATATCTTCGCTGCAGGATTAATCATCCGCTGTCTTTTCAGATGAGCTTTATTTTTAAAGCTTTTCATATATTCTTGCACCAATCTAGGCTTGTTTGATGGCAGATACTTTCCCCCCTCACAAGCAAAACACCATTATTTTCAAGGGATGTGGCCCATGGTAGATTTCCTATCATTCCTAAGTAGTTCAGTAATCCCTTGCTTGCTAGGGACATCCCAGGCTCATGCAACTTCTGCAGCTGGTCCAAGCTGTGCACTCATAGCTTATTCCCACTCCCAGACGGGTTTGGTTCCCCAGGGATGTTGGGAGGCTGGGGCCAGGTTCACATCCTCCTTCCAACAGTGTGCTTGATCTGCGAGAGGACTTCTCTGCTATGCCTTTTTTTCCAATAATCCGTTCTCCTCTGCCTCCAAACAGGAGATTCAATAGTAATGCTGGACTACAGGCGGAAGGACAAGTGAATCTTCCTCTTCAAGCCAAATAATCTCTCCATGAACGCTGAAGCCATGAAGTAGAGGAAAATAAATGTGCTGTGATAAATCCTTTCTCCAATTCATTGCAGCTTCTGGTGAAGCCATTATGTCATCAGACATATGGAAAACTGGTGGAAAATATGAAATGTTTGCCTCTTACATGATAACTCTGCAACTGCTATGAATAAGAAAATTGTGTTCATCTGTTTACACAGATTTCTCTCTCTTGCACAATGTACGTGAGGATGTGTCCATGGTTAAAACTTGTCACTGGTAAAGAACTCCCTCATGAGCTTGGCACCACTCTGTAAAAGACCTGTGAATGCAAGCCAGCTCTTGTTTGGATTACCCTTCATCAAGTCTGGAAAAAATTAAGAGGAGGGGTAATTTTAACAGTGCTGTGACTTCCAAGCTAGCTAGATAACAAATTGGGCTAACAAGGACTGTAATTAGGAATGTCTGCTCAGAAAGTTCACCATGAAGCCAAGTTCCTCTAACAAGAAACATTCTGGAATATTAATATGCCTAATATCGCCACTCCATTTTAACAGGAAATCTGAATGCAACCCTTTCTTCCTTTTTCTTGGTTTCAGTTAATCTTGCAGCAAAAGTAACCTAATTATACTGACTGTATGATTGCTTTGACAGAAAGCATGTTTAACATAAAGCTGCCTGACATATAATTACACTCCATTCACATGTTTACTAATCTTGCTTAATATAGTTGATTTCTGTTATCAGGCTCAACATCTTGTTAACATCTAAAACACTGGAGAGCTGCTTTGCAAACTCCAATAAACGGGCAAAACCGATGAGAAGTGTAAGTGTTCCTTAATGGTCAACATGAAAAAGAAAGATCTGTGTCATTAGCCTTGCATTTAAATGAGGATTTGAAAATAGTTGCAGTACTTAAACGTCTAACTCCACCTTCATTGCCAAACCCCCTAGTTTTGAGCTTCTGTGCACGCAGTGGACTAGGGTGTTATTTTCATCTTTCAAATGCTGCTGGAGCTTAGTAAAAACAAAACACATTGTAAGCTGCCTGTGAGCAATTAAAAAAAAAAATAATGTGTATACATAAGATTTGTTCTTCTCACATGTTAAGCATCTGATAAAAATTCTAGTCTGGGAAGTCAAGATACTAGGGCTAGACTGTAAACTAAGTTAACTCAATGAAAGACGTGCACACATTCAATAATTTCCAGCTTATCTAGATAACTCGCTCCGGCTAACTTCACAAGGGGAATGTAAGCAATTACACACCCCCCTCCCTGCCTTTTCTGTTAAAGCTAAAGGAGAACATGGAAAGAATTCAGTTGAAAGATGCTGGTCAAAGGAAATATTTCAGAGAGGCAGACAGAAGAACAACCATGAAGGGAATTAGGGAAGAGGAGAAAGTTCAGGAGGCTCCCAGTTGTTGGGGTGCGCTTTTTGGAACTTTTTTTTGAGGTGGGTTTTTGTGTGAGTTTCAGTCATTTGGTTGGGTTT